CCTTAATCACCTTACATCCGAACCTGCTCGAGACTGCCACTGAACTCGATCTCTTTCCATGGCGGCGCTGTTCTCTTACCTGGTCCCTCTCCAGTTGGCATAAGAAGTTGGGTCATGCCTCTTCTATGGAGACCGTGTGCTTCAGGTACACTTTTCGTTGACTGAAGTTTTGCGAATTGCACCTCGAATACACCACACGCACTTTCAACCGACATACAATCAATTTATAGTAACTTTGACTCAGTTTCCCCGTCTTCAGCGTCTGAATTTTAGCTCGGTAACTGGTGTTGCTTGAAGGCCAGGTTTCTAAAGAACTTGAGTATTTGCTAAGCAAACTTCGTATGCTAGATGCACGTAGTTCATATATTATTCCATGCCGGATTTGCTTGCAACAGCCGCTTTACGCACATATAGTAATGCTATAGCAATTTGTTTCAATTGAACATTTTGCGCTGTTTCTAGTCAGACGTTGATTGATATTACTCTAACAAATGAAAATAATCTCGGCACCATCAACCGGCCATCAATCAACTGGCCCAGCTATCGATGTCCGATTTCAACGTTCCCCTAGTATATTTTGTCTATACCATTTTGTGTGTATATTTGTAATCTGTTCTAGACGCCTTGTGCCTGCAAAGATCAGCGGTAGATAAATCGGTAATTTATTCGCAGAACAGAAATGTTTGAGGTAAAATGCATAACTAAAAATTACTCTGGTTTGCGTTATAAAAATGGCTACGATATTTGTGACGGAATACGTCGCTGAAGCTTAAATTCCTAAGCGATGACTACAATTTCCACTTCGGAAGTTCGATCTGACGCTATATATGCCATCACGTGAACAGCTAATCAATCAAGTCATAGGTATTCGTTTATTTATAGGGTGAATGCGTGAAACAATCGGTATCGAAAGTTAAAGACGAATGGCAGAGCTCACTGGCCACGGCAAACCTTACTGTCGTTCTTACTTTCTCTGATCTGCCCTAACTCTGGTAGAAATCCAAATGAAAAAGAAAACTACCTCAAGAGTGGTTGGCTTCTGTAAAATTTCAACCATCATAGATATGTATTTAAGCAATACAATTAATTTTTTAGTTACCTTATGTTGATGTAAATGGTACACGCAAACAAACTCGTGTTGAAACAAAATTGCATATATACGCTAGAGAATATGCCACAGCTCATGTCCATATGATTAAGGTAAATAAATTGATTGGTATTCAATGAACGCATTTCTAATTCACTATGCCATAGAAAGACAGGACAAGACTAAATAATCAAAAGTCACGAGAATAATTATTACCTTCAACACTACTCGCATTGCCCTTTAATATGTTATGTTGCCCCTACCGTAGCCGGCTCGGGGTACAGGTGCAGTATTGAGACAGATGCACGAACACGGCACCTCTGATGCGCCGTCTTTTAGGTATTACAAAAGATGAGTCATTTCTGATTGAATAAACACCCCCGGCATTTATATAAATAACAAACGTGTGCTTGAATTGTGCATTGCTGTCCTAGAACGAACTCACTGCACAAATACATTTGCCCTACTACACATGTAATAAGAGCGCGTAAAAGGAAACTGTTCAGCCTGTCATGCAACGCGTAGTTCTATTTAGGCCGATAAAATTGTATCTCCAAGAGGTGCTATCTTACCTAAAAAGTCACAGTGTGATTGCTTGAGTACTAGACAAAAAGTAGAGAGCTGATACCGACATGGCGGATTTGGAGCCTATAATAATGTAAGTTTGTTTCTTTAAATCTATAGTTATTCGTATGCAATAAATATGCGACACTGCTTGCTATCTAATTGTTCGACTATCACCCTATACAGGTGATAAGAGATTAGCAACTGTCATAGGATAAACTGTTGATCATAGGGATAACTTAATTTCTGGGTTACCCTTAATTTACCTTTTTTTTTCAAGACATTTGTGGTATCGAGTCGGTACGCATACGTGGATTAATACGTTCCCTCAATAGTTATTTCCGGAACGAGGCAAGACAAAACACTATGTACTACCGAATTAATGGCAGCAAAACAAGATGAATTGGCTAAGTACGTTATAAAACATGAAGTGACTCGGTATCAACTGCAGATGCACCAATTCCAGTGAATTCCGTGAAGTGAAAAGAAAAAACAATTTCCAATTAAATGCCACACGTGTGCCATTATTTTTTTAGTTTTGAAAACCGCCTCTTGACTCAGTCGGCAGAAAAGGCAGCTTTACTCCCGTACATTGTTGGCTTGCCTCAATCGCCTTGAAGCTGTCATTGAAGCTCAGCACCTTGAAGCTACGTTTCGGACGTCTCGTCAGTGCTCGTAAGGCAAATCGCAGCAGGTTTAGGCATGGAAGGCATTAGGTAGGAGTTAAGGTAGTACAGAAATTCTGCTAAAGATGCGATCAAGGTAAATGCGTATTAGCGGGTGCATCATGGTACTGGAAAACTTTATGACTCGTTCACCCAGAGCTCAAGCGAATTTGGCGGATAATATTATGCAGTCGTTCCAGAAACTTCTCAATAATACTTCGTAGCAACGGAAGAGTTCTCTGCCATGAGTTAGTGATGCGGAACTTCGCGTAACGAAGAAGAAGCTTGTTTCTCGAGGTAGATGTTAAGGCTGTTTTTGATGTCGGCCTACGTTTGAAATAACGCTCAAACGGTTGTACTTTTCCTCCTCAGCCATATGCTCCACAGCCATTGTTTGTCACCTGTAATAACGCGTTGGAACAAACCCGCTTTGCTCACTTTTCCTTAAAATAGACGAGTCGAATTGTCGACGAGTTTTCATTTTTTGAAAATGCAGGTTCTCTTAGAAAATTTATAATCTTCCTTTGAGATTGTTCGACATGGTATGTGTGAGGGAGAGTCTGTTAAGAGGGTGGTTCGGCGATCATCGGCACATGTTGAAAGCAAAAACCTGTTTACTTTATTCACGTCCTCGACATCGCTCGCGGCGACAAGTTGCCTACAGCGAGGTGCTCACTGCGACGCTTGCCAAATACAAAGCACAGATTCTGATGCTAATCTTAACTCTGGCCTATAAATAGTAGGCGAGTGTGGCGCGAAAGGGTCAAAGCGAGAGTCGGTCTTTAGTGGAATAAAGGACGAACCCTTTATCGATAGTTTTTGACTTAGCAGTACCGTTCGAAATCTCTTTTGCCCTTCAGGTCTGTTGTCCATATTTTAAAATTAAATCATCAGATAAAAGGATATTTCGAGTTTGAGCTTCAAATCTTATCAGCCGCGTTTCGAAATGTGACCATTTTATGTTACGCTATACAAGTATCACTTTTCAGTCAAGGAAGGCCATTAAAATAATATATATATATATATATACACGCTTCTTGAAGTTTTTCATGCGCCTAATTTCTAGAGCCAGATCCGCTGGCGACTGAGCGAATATATGTACAATAAGCAAGCTAAAATTAGCCGCTGAAATTTCGTGATATTTTTAGTGATAATAAATAAATATAGAAACCTCGCAAAATTATACAGTCCTATGGCAAGATTAAAGCAACGAAAAGGTCTTAGATAAACAAAAACGCTTAAGTCGTTCATTATTTTATTACGTTGCGTTGGTCTGCAATTGTTCCAGTAAGAACCGTTCCGGGGGCCTTGTTATTAGAGAATACCCTTCAAGACTATGTGTTATATGTTAGACTGTTTTCCTTAATAATAATTTGTTTTATTTGGTAGCTGTAGTTTTCTCGGCCAAAAAGTACCGAATTATTCGAAGTACATGATATTCTGGATACAGCCATAACTGCACTCAAGAACCGGTCCATGTGGGCCACACCGGTGAGTCGTGATCTTGATCAAGCCGGAACCCTAATGAAGGCTTCACCAAAAAATCAGGCAGTAATGATCCCCTAGTCAAGCTTAAGAACGCTACAAGAGTGATGTTTGCGGTAGAACGAAGCCCGTCGAGTTGTCATTATGTTCAATACGACGAAACAGAAAGCGCCTATGGCTACTTTTAGCGTATAGAGGAAGAGTAATAGATTTTCATTCCTGCAAGAAAACTCCTTCTTTATACTATTTCTAAGTTGTTTAGACTAACTTCAACAACGAAAAAAACAATAGCTGCATATTTATGATTCGAGCTTTTCTTGTCACTTTTATTTATATGTAATAATTCGTATCCAATCCATATTATTCCTCAACTTTAAATATTCTTCATTTATAGAAGTTTCATCTGTAGTTTTATTTTGTCACCTGCCCTGTACAAATCCTCTATGCGAGGCCAATTTATATTACACTTCTTGTGGTTTTTTCATTTTTCTCTTCGTATGTTCCACTCTTCTGCCTCTCTGTGCTTTTGATTCTTGCATTTGTTTTATATA